TATTGGGGAGAGCTGAGGAGGCTGGCGCAGTGTGTTGGGGAGAGCCGAGAAGGCTGGTACAGTATGTTGGGGAGAGCTAACGACGCTGATGCAGTGTGTCGGGGAGGGCTAAGGGGGCTGGTGCAGTGTGTTGGGGAGAGCTGAGGAGGCTGGTGCAGTGTGTCGGGGAGAGCTGAGGAGGCTGGTACAGTATGTTGGGAGAGCTGACGACGCTGATGCAGTGTGTCGGGGAGAGCTGAGGGGGCTGGTGCAGTATGTTGGGGAGAGCTGACGACGCTGATGCAGTGTGTCGGGGAGAGCTGAGGGGGCTGGTGCAGTGTGTCGGGGAGAGCTGAGGGGGCTGGTGCAGTGTGACGGCGGTCCGCTCTCGTAGTCAACACTCGCATGTGTGTCATTGATCGCCGGCCATCTGGGCCGGGAGAGAGCCTGAGCCGCTGAAGCGAGCCACGGCCGTCCCCGAGCTCTGTCCCTTCCCTGGCGGCGGGAACACAGCAAAAGGCTCGCTCCTGCTGGTGACAGAAGGTCACGACCAAGCCTTGCGAAACAAACTCAGACGCCGGCTCCCGCGGGAAAATAAGGTTTCTGACGACCGGATGGTAGTGAGTTTTATTCACTCTTGGCAAGGAGTGTCACTCTCTCTTTTCCCGGATTTGAGCCGGGACCGATACTTTGGAGTTGTTTTCGCTTGTGCTATCAGACGTTGAGTCTTGGTTTACGCTGCCAACGCCACCGATCGAAAAACACGCCGCCCAATTCTAGTGCATGGATAAGAAGCGGGGTTCTTTCTCAGCAGCCCCAGCACCACAAATACGTTTGTCCATTTTCGTCTTAATTCTACTCCAAACCTAACAAGCCGTTTGCACCAAGACTGCCAATTTAGCCCACGCAGAAACATGTCAACAATCAAACATGGTAGTTGTTAGGCTTATTAAGGGCAGACATACAGGCATAATGACCGTCGATTGCATTACACTCAAAACACATAGTTTGAAATGTAATCTGCTAACACATATTGGTATTGTTTTGAACGTTTCTAAATTACTTTTTGCTAAAAAGCAATCTAGTTCGGAAAATTTCCTACTCCTGGTTTTAATGTCTCTGTGGTGATGCATAATTTACGATTGAGTACGATGTAAATCGTGAAAGCGTATTGAGCAAAATATCATAGGATCACAGACTATCACCCATGCAACCGTCTACACACCACCATTCTTAGCCATGCCAGACCACTTCACTTGTTAGCCTTACAGTCGTTTTGGGGTCTCGGTCTTACACCTCCGATGGCCATTTCCGAGATTCTTGTGTTTTTTTATAGAATGGATGAGCTTTGGTTACCTGGATGCCTTATTTCTGATAGCCGCGATAGACACGCCTCTTTTGACAGCTGCAAACGTGATACCAGAGAGTGATTTGCGACGAAATCGCGACGAAAACACACCGCGCACGATGTTGTTCTCAAAGCACGTACGAAACATAATGTACCCGCGGGACACCATGGCTTCCCAAATTTCCGGCATGAACCTATCTTTACGAGATAGCAGTTCCATATAGTTAAGTAGTGGCTCATTCAGTCGGCACGGGCACTCATTTTCCCGACTCGTCCAAAGGAGGGGAGGGGACAGGGAGAGGAGAGGGGACTGCGACGACGACCGGCGCTGCAATGTTGACAAGGTCGCGTCCCAGTCTGCGCCGCCATCCGCACGCTTTTTGTAACGTCTGTCGTGGTTTTTGTTCGCCGGCGGTGCTGTTTTTCACGTGACGACAGAGCCCCTAACAGCTGAGCGGCGCTGCGCGACGGGAACGCAGGCCGGTGCGGGCCACTAGCCTGCTGGAGCTGGAGGCCCGCCGACACCCGACGGCGACGCGCCGGGGCCGCGCCTGGGAACACTTCGTCACGAACCTGGGACTGCCTGCGACTGGGCCGGCCGGCGGGGGCATGCGTGCCGCGCGCCGCCGACCCTCGCAGTCCAGTACACGTGCTTACGTCCAGCAATGCTTAGCGGAGTGCATGCAGAGCAATTTCGGCCCAGCGCTCAGTCTACCTTGGCCGCGATGGGTCGTTTGGTGCAACCGTATTGATTGCGCTTTTTTTGCGCGCCGTCTGAGCGTTTTTTTGCGGACTGTCTACCCCAGTTTTTGCGGGCTTCCGCGCGGCGCTGGCCATGTTGGCATAGACATTCAATGTCAGCGCCCTCACAGAAATAGGCAGAAGAAGCTGTATTTTCCAATGCTAAAAGCAAAGGGCGGGCCAACATCCCTCCGGACACCATCAGCGAGCACCACTGGAATGGCGGTCTGCGTAACAGGACGAAAGGTGAAATGTGTGGAATGAATTGCGTACTGAGAAGTACCATTGTAGATACCAGACCCAAAACAGGTCCTCCTGTTTAAATAGCTGTTTTGCTTTGTCGAGCCCAGCCATCATTTCTGGCTTTTCGGCGATGAATCGTTTCCATAAGAACATTTCAGCAGAGTGGGGCTTTGTATCTCTTTGAAGGTGCCTTACGTCACTCCGCACTCTCAGCGTAGTATAAATCACCAACAATTCGCCAATAACGCTATGCACGACAGAAAGCGATGTTCTGTGGAAATTTGGTCTGTGGTCTTCAATGATTTTTATGGCGCTCCGCTAATACATTGCTTGCACACATCCATGGGTTAGCGGTCCATTCCCGTCAGCCGATCCGTGCGACGCCGTCCAGCGAGCTTCACCCTCGCCCAAATTAGCTACCCCTCATGACGCGGACAGACGGGGGAGGCCTGATGCAACCCCCTGGCGTTTCCAAACTGATCCATATAGTGAATCGGCATAGACATACGTACGCCAGTTTGGTCCCGAGATCTCGCGATTGACGCCATTTTCATTTTCAAGCTGTTAAGTCAGTAATCAACCCCATCACGATAGGCCAAACCTCGAATTTTCCAGAAAATCGCACCTTTCCACCTTTACGTCATATCTCCCGGACCATGCCGCGCGACGACGTGATACTTAGCAGGCATGTTTCTTTTTCAATTCTGAGCACAATAGTGTATCTTTATGCTTTGAGCCTACATTCATGATGTGTGGTTCCGTTGATGTAGCAACGTCCAGCAGCCGCGCGCGTTCCCCGGCTTCGTCCATTGCTGATCGACTGCGCAGGCCGTAGATCACTGTGCAGCGCTTCTAGAACACCGCAGCTCCGAAACCAGAAAAGCTATAATTTTTGCAGAAACATACGCAACAAATGCCCGAAATAGTGAAAGTTTGAGTGCGATTGCGTAGCATGCTGGAAAGCCATCCCCAAAACCCTTAAGGGGATTGCATTACCCCCCCCCCCCCCTTCTATCAGGGCGAGGGTTAACTCGCGCGGGGAACCCTCTGTGGGGTGTGCTGGGAGCTCGGACGGGGCGCCGCCAGGGGGCACTTAAGCCCACTCATGTCTGGTGCGCGTAGCCTGTCCTGGATAGGCGGGGTGCCGCGAAGATGCAGGATAAATCAAGAATGATAATATTTGGACGGATAATAATGGACATGTACGCTGGAGGTTGGCCAGTAGCTCGGTGCCACTGCGAGGAGCGAAGGCCAGCGATGACGCATCTAGCCCACCCGGGCAGAACAGTCTCTGCACGGACCCCTCGGGGAATGTTGGTGCCGCGCTTCAGGCAGCGCCAGCCGCTCTACCACTGCTGGCACCAGGGAACGGCCGGAACGGCCGGACTGCCCGCCGCGTTTCAGATGAGCCGCTCTGGTGACTGTTGACTGTTGGGTAGTGAAGGGTGGCTGGCGGGCGGTGACCGATGACCGGTGACTACTGGCTGGTTGCTTGTGACTGGTGACCGGTGACTGGTGGCTGACGACCGACAACTGGTGGCCGTTGACTGGTGACTGGTAGCTGTTGACCGGTGACTAGTGAGTGGTGCCTGTTGACCGGTGACTGGTGACTTGTGACTGGTGGTTGTTGACCGGTGACTGGTGGCTAGTGACCGGTGACTGGTGGCTAGTGACCGGTGACTGGTGGCTAGTGACCGGTGAATGGTGGCTAGTGACCGGTGACTGGTGGCTAGTGACCGGTGAACGGTGGCTAGTGACCGGTGACTGGTGGCTAGTGACCGGTGACTGGTGGCTAGTGACCGGTGACTGGTGGCTGGTCATGCGGCGAGGTACCGGCAGGAACCACCTCGACTACACGCACTCCCAACCTCAAACGACACCGCAGCTTGGGCATGGCACCTGTGACCCAGCTGTGGTGGGTTCGAAACATGCCACCAGGCTTGGGACGTATGCCAAGTCCTCCAGGCTGGAGATTAATGCCGAGTGGACTTCCAGGCTGGTGACTAACATTCACCGTGACGATATCCAGGCTGGTGACCAACATTCACCGTGACGATATCCAGGCTGGTGACTAACATTCACCGTGACGATATCCAGGCTGGTACTAACATTCACCGTGACGATATCCAGGCTGGTGACTAACATTCACCGTGACGATATCCAGGCTGGTGACTAACATTCACCGTGACGATATCCAGGCTGGTGACTAACATTCACCGTGACGATATCCATGCATCCACGAGACCAGTGTCGCACAATTTTCCGCCCACTGGGTCAGACTGCAGCACCGGCGACCAGATATACGTGACATTCCAGAGACCGACGCCTGTACAAAATCTGAGCAGCCGACTGGGTCTACGGCACATGTCGGCAACCCGCATGCCTGCATTATATGAGCGCGTGACGTGGCGGCGCAATCATTAGCCGCGCTGAAGTACCCATAAACCCCGCCCTGAAGTGGACCAATGTCACGGCTCCGCTTGGTCACTGTGCTGATCCACACGCCGATATATTATGCGCCTCATACCGTGCCGATATTTGATGTGGTTCTAGCACCGGTTCTGCGCCCTGTACGCCCGCCATCCGACCCTTGTACCAACTGGGATTTTGTGCTCCTCCTGCGGATGCCTGCTATCAGTTGTCTCCGATATCATAACCAGGGTACACCATAGCGACGATAAACATCCTCAACACTTAGACAATCGTGTATTATATGCATGCTGATATTCGGACCGGAGTACAGTCGGGTTAAAAAGAGACCGCCTTCCTTTAAAAATGGACTTGGCGGTACGGACAAAATCGGTGCTTGTCATTCAGAGGAAACAGCGATGTACCAGGAACGAGCCTTTCAGGGACAGACACGTGACTAGTACCATCTACCGGCCGTCACGTCAACCCAAGTGCATAAAGTCACCGCCAGATAAACAATCGAGTCACAGATGCATTCTGGTCACAATTAGCTGCGATATTATGACAACAGTGATTGTTCAGGCGGCAGTGACGCACACTGGGTGTTCGTTGGTCCAAGATACTAGAATTAGGATCCTCTAGCAAGTCACAGTAGGCCCTCTCCAGCGACTAACAACACCCACTCCAGCGCATACGGCGCCGGCCGCCGCCGCGCCACGCCGCCGACCAAGTAAAAGACTAGTTCATTTTTTGTGAAAGAGATGGCAGCATGGTGTGCCAAGGCGCTGAGTATTGCGGGCGGCGGCGGCCGCGGCCGGCTGCCGGCCAGCGCGGCGGAGGGAGGCACGACAGTTTTGTACCGGACTCTTCACACGCGGCGCGCCGGCCGCCGGCCAGCGCGCCTCCAGCATATCGCACGGTTGCATCGGACACACGGGAGCGGACCGAGGGCCACGCGCGGCCGCACTACGGGGCGCGCCGGCCGTGCCGCCCACCGGGCGAGCCAGCCGGCGGCCAGGCAGACAGACAGACAGACAGACGCGAGAGGAAGGGGCGCCACTGGGACGCCGACGGGCCGGAAGCGACGTCGCGGCTCGGTCACTTACCAGCCGGGAGTCGTCCCCACGCCCGAACCGATTCAGAGCCGTTGGCATGCCAGGTCAACGGGGTCAAACGAAAGGCGCGCGCGCGGCAACAAAAGCTTTAAAAATACAGCTAACCCTTTTGGCCACCTCCCAAATGCCCGCGTCACACTCCATCAGTCACAGGTAAACAGCACTTAGTCTAAAATCGCCTTAACCTAGTGATTTTTTTGCGGTTTTTACTTTTGTTTTATACATGTCCATGTGCAGGTCGGCTGCCTCCGCCGGAACACGACACGCAGGCACACACAGTAAGAGGTTTGTCCGGCACGAATCACCGCCTGATCGACAGACACGCAATATGAACACGCGCGTGCGCTCGCGGCGCCCGCCTGGAATGGCGCGGCGGCGACGCCAGCGCCGCTACACCGACTAGCGGCCAAACAACAAACCGTCAGCTCGCCGTGAAGATCGACTATAACATATCACAAGGGCGCGGGGCGGCTGAGGCGCTCGCCGCACGGCCGGCAGGGAGGGGTCGGGCTCGCGCCACACACGCAGACAGAGGTCACAGGTCACGGAGGCACCGGCCGCTGCCGGCCGCTGAGCGGAGTCGTCTTGGACAAGCGGGCTGGCGGCGGCGCACGGTCACAGCTCGGAGGCGCGGCCCACGACGCCGCCCGGTGAGCACCGACGTCCCGTCCCGTCCCGTCCCCGCTACCCCCTTACCCATCCGCAGCCCTCCCACGCACACCCTGTGTGTATCGCAGCTCTTTCTGCCGCGCATGCTTGGCGGAAGATTTGGATAGCTTGTGGCAATATCTGAGTTTTTTTGTGGTTTCACATAAATCCTTTCTCTAGCCCATAACTCTTAAGTAAACGTTTGTACTAAAGAGGAAGACCGCACCAATAAGCGATTCAACCAATCACAGGTCGCGCCGTGCGTGCGTCGACCAATCACAGGCCTCGTCGCGCGGGCGTCGACCTATCACAGTGGCTGCTCACAGGTTGCTGAGCGGGCTCCAAAGGCCTCCACCAACCGGCGGTCAAGGCGCATCACGACCAGGCGACGCTCATCAGATCCCAGTAGTCACAATCCTTTTGTCCAGCGTTTGGTCCTGAGCGAATCTTTAGCGCCTCGCTGTGCAGGGGTGCGGGTGCGGGCGCGGCGACCGGCCGCACCCGCACCCGCATCCGCTCGGCGGTCGAGAGGGCGAGCTGACGACGCTGACTGCGGGAGCGGCCGAGTCGGGGCGGGCAGGCGGGCGGGCGGACGGGCGGGGGAGGGACCAGAGGGGACGGGAGGGGGCGGAGCGCCGCACCGCCGCCGCGCTGGCGTCGCACCGCCGGCCGGGAGCCGCCGACACGTCCCGAGGCGGGGGCGGACGGGCGGCGGGCGGAGGGCACAAGCTGCCGCCTGCTGCCACCCGCCAGTCCCCGCCCCATCCAGTCCAACTTATGCTAACGACCGACGCCGTCTTGACGTGCCGCAACCAGCCGCGGATTCGCCTACGGAGATCAGCTGAGAATGACGCGCACATTCCCGCGCTCTGCTCCGTCGAGGCGGCGTCGGGCCTTACAGCTAGCGTAACACGAGAGCAGGAAGTTCCCGATAGCCTTGAGGTATACAGTCTCGCACTCTCTGAACCGATTCGACTTGATTGCGACGCTCGCGATTTGGTAGTCCTGAACGTACCGGAGCACATGGCAGCTGGCGATATGTAAAGCTGATATTCTCTCCCTAGGCGTGGGCAATTTAGCGGCGGATCGACACCATTATTGCACGTGAAGGTGAAAGCTGGCGGGCGGCGGTTGGTGCCAACGGCCTGCACGCCCGCCGGAGCGCTCTAGCTCGCGCTCCCGGCGGGGTGGAGTCACGTCTCACGTCCAGTTTAAAGCGTCGTACCCGACAGAGTTGGCCGCGGCGTCCGCTCTCGGCCGCGACGCGGCGCACGGGCATCACCACTACGCGGACCAAGCGTTGGCACAACATCGACGCGCGCGCGCGCGCGCGCGCAGGACCTGACCGGCTGAAAGACGACCCGAGACGGCCGCACGGCCGGTGACGGCGCGCACCTGCGGCCGGCAGGCTGGCGCGCCGTCGCCGGTCGGGCGGCCACGCGCACCGGCATCTGGCGGCGCGGCGGCGCACCAGCAGTTGGGCCGGCGGCCGCCGGCGGGTGAAAGACGGCCGCGGCGGCCTGTCACGTGCACAGGAGCGGAGATCGGGCCGCACGGCGCGCAGAGCTGGAAGAAGACCTGAAGACGTTTGTACTGAGCGCGGCCGGACCGCTGCACGCTCGCACGCACTCTCTCTCTTACTCTCTCTCTCTCTCTCTCTCGCAGTCTCGCGCGGGCGGCGACTCTTTGGTTCGGCGGGCCGGCGCCGGGCGGCCGGCCAAGGCACCGGCTGACCCATGGAAGGTTGCAGTATCACAGCCCCAGACAGGCCGGCGCGGCGGGCCACGGCCGCCGCTCTTACAGCTAATATCACACAGTCGGGTGGCGGCGGCCGGGTTGAGCGGGCGCATGGCGGCCGACGCCGGCGGCGGCGACGGAGACGACAAGGGCTGCGGCGGCGGCGGGACGGGCGGGGAGCGGGCGGGGAGCGGGCGCGGGCGGGACGGGCGGGCGGGCGGGCGGGCGAGGCGCGCGGTCAGTCGTTGAAGCTCTGCGACACTCTCGCCCCATCAGGTCACACACGATACTGTGCACACACAAACATACACACCAACAGACAAGGGTGACCCTGGGCTCGGCGGTCCGGCTGCCCCGGCGCTGGGACCGGCGCTGGTACCGGCGCGGGCGGCGGCGCCGCTGACGCTGGCGACGTGCCGGTCAGCCGAGGAGCTCCGCCGGCCATAAAACCTAACGACACGGTACTAAAATACACAGGCGTGCGCGCGCAGGCGCGCACACATGGCCCACACGGGGCAATACTTGCCTTAAATACTAGCGCGGACATCGTCCCCTTAACCTAAGCAGCGTAGCCTGGCCGCGCCACGGCGGCCGGGGAATCTGTCATCACCATGGTGCGTTTGGCGTGGGCGCGGCGCCGCTGGCCGCGGCGGCAGACAATCAGCGTACATGATGGGCGTGTGAGTGGTTCCGTCTCTCCCCCTCTCTCTCTTCCTCTCTGTCGTGGTGCGCACGAGCTGTGCGCGTGCGCGCCGGCGGGCGGCGCGCTCACAGCAGGCCCTCGGGCAGGTAGGGCCGACCGGCCTCCTCTAGGCCGCCGGTGCCCCACAGGGCGCCGCCGCCGCCGGCGCCAGCGCCGCTGCTCCAAGCCATGCTGGCGCCACCTGTCGAAGGGGGCTCAGGTCACCCGCCGGATCACCTCTGCACGACACGGAGGCGCGCGCGCCACGCCAGAGGCGCGTCCGCAGTCGGCTGGCACGACGCGGAGCCGCGGAGAAGCAAAAGCGCGCGCACGGACCAGTGGCTCGGACTCCCCGAACTCGGGCTGAGTGGGCCACGGCGACCGACACGTTTCGGCGACAAAAGACCACTGCAGGCAGTGCGTTCCAAACTGCATTAACAACAAACTGACACTCATATCGGTCAGCTAATTCCGCACTCTCAATAACCAAACAAGTAAGTATACAACGCTACCATTGTGCAGTGTTTTCCGCGCTTGAGATATAAAATAAGCCTAACATTGGCATTTAAAAGCGGCTTCCATGGACACCTACGGATCTCCCGTCACCACACATCACTAGATCACCAGCCTGTGACGCCCTGCTACGCGGCCCCATCACTAGGCCCGCCCGCACCGATCGGGTCTCCGATGTCGCTCCAGGCGGCGGAGGCGGGCGGTTTGGCGGCCGCCTGGCCGGCGCCCGGGCCGGCCGAGCTGGACGGCGCCGGCTGGCCGCCGGGTAGGCCCAGCTGCTGCAGCACCTGGCTGGCGTACTCGTCCGTCACCGCCTCCGCCATGATGGTCGTGTTGCTCAGCACGCAGTTGTTGAGCGCGCCCTGGGCCTGGAGGAGGGAGCGGGGGAGGGGAGGGGAGGGGAGGGGAGGGGGGGAGCGGGTCAGCGTCAGTCCATGTGAGCGGCGACAGCTGGCCACAGCCGGCCGGTCGCGCCGCCGGTCAGACACTGCTTGCGTCACAGACCCGGGAGGCACTGACGCCAGGGCGACTCGACGCCGACCCACCGCGCCGCACACCGGTCACAGACACCAGGGATCGCCACCAGCAATGTCAGAAATCATTCAACAAATCAGCGACAAATCAAGTGACGTGCCACGCCCGGCAATCGAACCGCTCAGCAACTCATTGCCCGCACTCTCCCGCGGAGCCTCGCTTCATTACACCTCGCCACATCTATACGGGCGATTAAGATTTGGGCTCAGAGGCGCGCCGACTACAACGGCCATATGGCGCCCATTGACATCCAGGGCAACTGCTGTTCCGTCACGGAGACGACGGCCCGATGACGCGCGTCACGCCCCCCGCGACAACCCTGGCGTCTGCCGGAGCGGACAGCATGGTCGCGCCGGCCTCCCACATCTCCCGTTCGCCAGTGCACCGCCCGATCCCCGCCCGTCGGCGCACCGCACCGCCTCACACCTTGGCGGCCTCCTCGCGCGAGCTGTACTTGACCAGCGCCACGCCCTGGCTCAGGTACATGTGGAACGTGTACAGCGGGCCGTGCTGCATGCACAGCGTTTTCAGTGTGGAGCCATCGATCTGTGGAGGGTGCGGCGGTCAGACGCCAGACCTTTGAGGTCACCGCAGGCCGCCAGCGACGCCTCGGCACAGCGGCGCCGTCGCCAGCGTCACAACATCACTGGCAGCACAGACTCGAAGTGGCATGACCTCTGGCTTCAATACAGGGCAGGCATGGCAAAGCAGACCGAATCCTTGTGATTGGCGCCCTATACGGCAACATTTACCACAGCCACAGACAAAGCAGCTGTTTCGGGATCTGCCCACAGCACGCAGTGAGGCCTGGGCCTCGACTGACCTGGGCCGTGAGGTTCCTGAGCAGGAGCCAGGCCGAGCCGCCGCCAGGCGCGCCCCAGCCGCCGCCGCCGCCCTGGACAGGGGCGAACGCCGAGCGCTGGTCGTAGGGCGCCCCGCCGCGGCCCCAGCCGGCGCCCTTGTTCAGGCCCGGCGGCGGTCCGCGCGACTTCATGCTCCAGTCGGCTCCAGTGTCCCACTTGCTCGCGCCGCCCATGCCGCCCGGCTTACCGCTGCAGGGGGCCGTCCGAGCGTCAGCCAATCATATCGCGGAGCCGCGGAGGGCAGCCAATCACATCGCGGAGTCGCGGAGGGCGGCCAATCACATAGCGGAGACGCGGAGGGCAGCCAATCACATAGCGGAGCCGCGGAGGGCAGCCAATCACATCGCGGGGCTACGGAGGACAGCCAATCATAGCCGAGGCTGAGCTGAAACGGTAAAACAAACGGGACCACGACTGCTGACCGGGATGAAAGACCAACGGGAAGTGAATCTTCTGGCGGAGTAGCCAAGCCCCAGATAACAGAAGGGGGCTCGCAGGTGTACGACTTATATAGCTCTGATGTTCAATATGATACCACGATCAATCAATCGTCCATCTACTCAAAAGGTTTGCAGTGAACAGCGGGTGTGACCAACTTAACGAAAAGAACGCACCACAATACGCCGTCTCCCGCGGAATTAACCGTACGCGTCACTATCACCAGGCGTCCGCACCGGCACGGTGTACATCGCTCTGACATGACAGCCAGCTGGAGAGGGCGCCGAGCTCCACCAGCGGCACCCTCCCGCGGCCGGCGGCGGCTCAGCACGGGCGGCTCACCCGGCCGGGTTGTAGCTCCAAGTGGAGCTGCCGAAGTCGGTGCCGGCGCCGCCGCCCAGCGGCGACGCCTTGCCCGGCTGCATGCTGGCCAGCAGGTCCTGGGTGGCGGCGGCGCCGGCCAGGCCGAGCGACGAGCGCACCGAGCCGGGCGTCAGACCCGGGTCGTCCTCCACAGACTTCATCTGGGAACCCTGCCGCGTATCAGGCGGACACACGCCTTCACTCGCGCCGCTCCCGGCCCGGGCGGACCGACGTCATCCACACGCACAGCTGAGCCGCACACCACACGCCGCACCCAGACACACACACCACACACGACCAGTCGCTCGCGCACAGCAAGGCGCCGCCGCTCCACCCCCGGTCGGCGTATGAGAGCACACGATGCCTTTGAGCGCGAGTTTCGACGGCACGGTGGCCTCGACAGCTGAAAAAAGTGCTTGGTACAAGGCGGCTCCAGCCCGGGCACGAGCGCCGAGCTGACAGCTTAAGACAGCTGACTACAGTGGCGAGCGCATGCCGGCTCCGGCCCAGGGACGAGCGCCGAGCAGCGGCCTTCCCAGCGCCGGGCCGCCGGCCGGCCGCGGCCGCCACCTACCTTCCACGGCTTGCCGGGCTCGAACTCGGGCACCAGGTCGGCGTAGCTGTTGTGTCCGCCGGCGGCACTCGGCCAGCCGGGATCCTTGCTGTCCACGCGCTCGGCGGCGGGAGGCGCGGCGGCGCCAGCGCCGTCCGGCCAGCCGGCCTCGCCGCCGGCGCGTGCCGCCGACCACGTGCTGTCGCCCATCAGCGGCAGCGGCGGCGAGCCGGCCACCTTGCTGCTCGAGCCGGGCGCGCGCGAAAAGTCCTCGTCCGGGCGGTACAGCTGGCGGCGCCATAACCGACAGCCGTTAGCATTATGTCCAGTCGGCATACAACAGTGCAAAATGACCACAGCAGCCAGGGCGCTGTTAAACATAAGAGTCAAAATCATGCCAGCATACAACGCAGTCCGTAAATAGGACGAGGCAGAACATTGGGTGACGTGTTGCTCACACGCTGTCCTCAGCACGGCACTTCCGTCCATCACGGCGCGACTGAGACTAACGCGACTCCAAACGCGAGCCGGGCCCTGGTACCACGCGGTTGCAGCTGCGAGACACCGGCAGCTGTCGGCCGTCGAGGCGCCAAGCCTAGGCGCGGGACAACGACGCCAGTCGACCGTCGGCCGGCGCTGCCACCTCACCTTGTCGGAGGTGGGCAGTTTCCATTGGCTGAGGCGGCTCTGCGGCGCGTGGCCGCCGGGGCCCGGACCGCCGCCGTCCCGCAGTGACATGTCGGTGAGCCCAGGCAAGCCGTGGAGGTCGCTGGGACCGCCCGGACCCTGCTTGAACATCATCGGCCCGCCTCCGCCGCCCGACGACATCTGCTGCTGCTTCAGCAGCATCGCCTGCTGGCTGCCGATCTGGGACTGCGGGCGGGCGAGACGGTGTTACCGTGCTGTCATCCAACGGTAGCTGTGGGAAATTGACTTGAGCGGGTCAGAACACAGGGGGCAACGCTGCGCTCATTACACGAGCTGAAAGCTTCGAAGGTGACTGTCGTCAGAGGAGCCCATCCGTGAGGATCATGCAGTCACGGAAGATAACGAGCTACAATCCACACTGAGGTTGCGTCCCCAGGCTTCACCCTGCCCGGGGCCAGCCAGTGTTGCCGCGCCGCCAGCGCCGTTGCAGAGAAGAGGGCCCACCTGGATGTTGGAGATGTTGCCCTTGGTGCGCATGATCTCCATCTGTAGACTCTGGAAGTGGGGCGAGTTGGCCTGCGGCCCGCGCCCCAGCAGCTGTTGCTGGCGCGTCAGCTGCTCCAGTTGCTGTCGACGACCAGGGCGGGGTGAGCGAGATATACCATCTTCTCGGCCATTGTGGAGAAAGGGGCGCTACGTTCTCTGCCGCTGACGGTGAGGTACTACCGCGTCGCCAGCGGCCGCCACCAGTAGCCGGGAACTGGTGGCCAACTCCAGCCACTCCCAGCATCAGCCCGTCAGCAGCGACACCGCTACCTCAGCGGAATCACGGCGGCGACTAGACCAGTGTGCGCCGCGCTCGGGCCAGTGTGCCCACCTTGATCTGGCTGAGCAGGTGGTTGAGCAGGATGAGCGTCTGCTGGCCCATCGGCTGCTGCAGGATAGCAGGGTTCAGGTGGCCGGCGTGCACCGCCATCTGGATTTGGTTGATGACCGGGCGCAGCTGCTGCGGCGACGGCTGCGGCTGCTGGCAGAAAGGCGACCGGCCGGCCGGCCGGCGCTGTCAGCACACCACCGGCACACGGCTGACCGACGACCGGCGGCCAACAGCGAGCTCTCGCCAGACACGCAGAGCGGCGAGCGGGCGCGAGGCACGAAACCAGCGGACGGCGAGACAGCGCGGCCCCGCGTCTCACCCCACGGCACACCGGCGAGCGCAGAGCTGTGCTGCAGGGTCCCGATGACAGCAGATCGGCGCAGTTTCAATCTGTTTTACGCACTCCGTATCAGCACAAGTGCATGTCTGTGCAGCACATCTTGTTACATGCCACGAATTCTGAGCCCCGACAAGTCACATGAATGTGTGCAAAATTTGTCAGGGAACACGTCGGGATGCACACTTGCTTAAACTGTGTGCTTCACTATTGATGTGTGATGTTTCATAAACTTACTGATAAATTGATATAGTTCACATAAACTTACTGAAACATACTTCGGATCTTCCCAAGCTTCAACTTTGGAATGTTAACCAGTATGGTGATGATGATAATGATGATTGGGGTTTTAGGGCGCGTCGACTTCTACGGTCATTTTGCGCCGTTAACCAGTATGGAGAACAGCTGGGAACGAATGATCAAAAAGCCAGCTAGAAGTGCGGCGACAGGCCACCTTTCCACCTGGGCACTACTCATCACATCACCAGCGTCCCCACCTCTCCGTCGACATCAGCTCGGCCCGTCACCGCCCGCCGTCGCCCGGGGGGACTTGGCCGCGGCGGCCGCTTACCTGTCCGGGGAAGCGTGACGGCTGCGACTGGGCCTGCTGACGCAGCAGCTGCTGCACCACCGTCGAGTTCATGTTGCCGCCGCCGTGGCCCTGCGGGGCGGGGCGCGCCGACCGACGGTCAGACGGCGCGCTGGTCCGCTGCCAACGCCTACCGGCCGCCAGCAGCCGGCCGACCCCTTGGCCCCACAGTGGCACGGCGAGCGCGGCCAGCACGGCACCGGGTCGCCCGCCACAGGCCGAACGACACTCTGGGAGCAGACGCACCCGCAGCGACAAAGACGCGGCACTGAAGGCGCCGCAAGAAAGTCTCGGAATGTTCTAATATGATGTGACAGTTTGAGCTTGAAACGGACAACACGCCCGATACTGGTCCGCGTCGCCGGCTGAATGTCCACCTCCAGGCCTGGCTGGCACACTTACCGTGTTGGGCATCTGCATGCCGCCGTACTGCACGTGCGGCGGCGGCATCTGGGCGAAGCCGGGCTGCTCAAATGGCGGGTGGTCAGGCACGCCGCGCCAGTCGCCGGCCGGCCCGGCCAGTCGCAGCTGGTCGACGGCATCCTCCAGCGCCATGCCGCCGCCGCCGCGCAGCATCATGTCCACCTCCTCTGGCTGTCGGCGTAGGTGGACACGGGCGGTGCCGGTCACGACCGGGTGGGCGGAGCGGACGAGCGTACGGTGCGATCACCAGCTACTAGGGGAGCGGGAGAGGGAGGGGGGGGGGGGGAGGGGGAGACAGCCGACAGCCCCCACGGTAGTTGTGACGGCGGAACACAGCGGGAGCTAAACGCCTGCCACCGACGGGTGCAGGGCAGGCAGAGCGGCAACGCCGAAGCCTGTCGGAACGGCGGCATGTGAAGGCGCCGCCGATGGTGTCATAACTTTTGCGGGTTGTGGGTTCCAAATTGAGCCTAAAACGAGCCAGGACCGCCCTGTCACCACGCGTTAGCACGGCCAGGCAGACGGTGAGCAGAGGCCAGACCGGCCAGACCGCCGACAGCGGGCCCAGCGGCTGTGAGCGGCAGCAGCCGGCCGCTGCCTTCCGCCTCGGCAGAGTCGACCCACCTTGAAGCCCTGGTCGGTGAGCGTTCGGAACTTGTCGTACATGGCGCCCTTGGAGCCGGTGTGCATGCCAGGAGCGCGGCCCGCCTGCAGGTCAGCACGCCAGCCTCACTCACACCGCACACACACGAGGGCGTCGGCAGGCACACACGCTGGCGTGCGCGGCACGCGGGCAGGCGCGAGCACTATACAGCGGCGGGCGGTGTCAGGCAGGAGCGCCGTATGTTGGCGGGGCCGCAGCACCGGCACGAAATGCCAGCCCCGACCCCAGCCGAGGCACCGGAGGATGCAGAACGCGCGGTATTTCGAGCAAGCTTTGCTTATTTGTACCAGCAGCTGAATCAGCGTGCCCTAGTCACAGCACAATAATTTCTCGCTGCTTGTACGCGCTTTAGTGTGGGCCGGCTGCTTACGCCAGTATGGACTGCCTGTACAACTCTTCACTTTTGAAAGACTATCAAGTTTCTATACAAAATGCAAATTATCTTGATATTGCTTTTCGTGGCGTTTGCAGCCTTGCAAGAAGGATCAGAAAAAGCTGTGGCAAAACATCACATAAACCAGTGTCGGGTTAGGCGGCGTGCCGCAGCGCTTTGGCACGGGGCTGCGCCCTGACCCTGGCATGTTTCCAAAGGATGCTGTGATCAGGAGGCTGACGAGGTACCTGCTACTGCCGCCGGCGCGGACACCGCCACCTGGCTAGCCGCGCTAGATTATCAGCCGCACACGGCAAACGGCCACATGTTATCACACCGCACACGGAACCGAGCCACCAGCCTACACTATGTGCTCCTAGAGCAATGACCAAACGTCGCGCAACAGCACGCAAAATGTTATCGCCAAACGCGACACACAAACCCGCCTGTCCCGTCTCCCAGCGCGACAACGCACACACACCGAGCCAGCGCGCCGGCTGGCCGCGGCCTGCTGTCTGCGGACGGCGCCTTACCTTGGCCCAGTCCATGTCGGGCTCTGCCCAGCCGCCGGGCATGGTGGGCGTCTTGGGCTTGGCAGCCCAGCCGGCCGGGCCGTCGTCGCCGCCCCAGCCGGAGACGGGGCCCGGTGGCGCCTCGCCCCAGCCGTTGCGCGGCGGCCGGCCCCACGGGTCGACGCCCTTGTGGTCCGGCGGGCCCGGCGGCATACGCGACAGCATGTGCGGCGCCGGCGGGCCGCCCGGCAGGCCGGCGCGGCCCGGCCCGCCCGGCAGCTCCTTCCAGCCGCCGCCGCCCCCGCCTCCGCCGCGCTTGTTGCCTGCGGCGATCGGTCGGGTCAGAGACATCGCATCAGGGTGACATGGCGGCGGGGGTGAGACGGCTGCCATCCGAGACAAACGGCGGCAGGCGAGACTTGTGTCATCCCCCATTAATCCCCCACTGTGGAAGCTGAAAGCCGGGAATAACAATGACTCATCGCGTCACAGTTCAAATCGGATTGATGGCAGCAATGCTGCTGACGGAAACCGATGGAAACCTATCAGGATCACCAATTCAACAGTTACACAGACCAAACACTATTTGCGTACGAACTGGGGCGGGGGGGGGGGGGGGGGGCGAGAGAGAGAGCTAGGAATTGTAACGGTTCCATCACCACGTATCGATCATGACACCTTTCCCTCAGCTCAGCGGCTTTCCCAAAGCAAGCCGCCGACTCCCCCAATCCTAGCATGCGAAAGACCACTGCCGTGCCGGCTAGCGAGCCCAGCGGGATGTAGCGCGCCCCCATTTGCCGTCGACGGTCCGCGTGACGCCGCGGCGTCGGTCGGGCGTTCACGGGCCGGCGCGCGGGCATCTAGGCCAGTCTGCGTCCACGTCTGTCGCGAGCGAGCGAGCCCGCCGCTCGCCCACGTCTGGTCTGAGAGTCGTTCTCACGGGACCCTGCCCGGTCTGGTCTGGTGCCCCGGCCGCCCGACGCCTGTCAGCGGCCGTACGGGACCCTGCCTGACCTGATCTGATGCCCCGGCCGCCCGACACCTGTCAGCGGCCGTGCGGGACCCTGCCTGGCCTGGTCTGGTGCCCCGGCCGCCCGACGCCTGTCAGCGGCCGGCGCGCCCCATGTGCGCTGTGAGCGACGGCGGGTCGGGCGGCACAAACCGCAGTCCCGCGTCACAGGTCGCGGGAACGCCTGACGGGCAGGCTGTCGCCCCGGTTGAGGGGGAGATCGGCGTGTGGTCTGCGTGGCTGTGACCCCGTTAGCTACAAGAAGCGACCGGCCCCACGTTCCGAGCGGGCGGCCGAAGCTGCAGGCCCGGCACACCATGAGTGACCGTAGCCGTTAGTGGCGGCGGCAGTGGTCGACCGCGGCCGGGTTAGTGCATCCCACACCCGTCGCCGTCGGGGCCTGAGCAGGCGATGGCGGCCCGCCATCGTCAGCGTCGCCCCGAGTCATGCAGCTGAGCCAGCGCGGCCAGCGCCAGCGGAGCGGAGCAGCCGACCGGCCGTCGGCAGCTCCAGTAGCAGCAGCAGCAGCAGCGCACAGGCAGAGCCGGCCAGCCGGCACGGACTGGCCGCCACCGCTGCGTTAGTCGAACGACGACGGCGGCGGCGGCGGCGGCGGCGGCGGCGGTGCGCTGCCATCAGCGAGCCTGCGCGCACGCGCTCGCGAGCGGCGGCGCCGGTTCGGGTGCTGACCTGGTCGGGAGCGCTCACCCCAGTCGTCGAACCCTATGGGCCGGCGAGGCATGGGCGGCGAGTGGTCGCCTCCCCAGGTGCCCGGTCCGTGCTGCGGCGGTCCGCCCGTCCACGGTCCCGGCGGCTTGTTGCCTGCGGCGGCGACGGCGGGCGTCAGACGTCGGCCTCTACAGCCGGCCCACGCCTAAACAGAGACAGTCGCAGCGAGCGCAGGCGACAACCACACAACTGCCGCAATATGCTCTCACAGAGGCAGCAATGTCGCAGTGGGACTGAACGAACCTCGTGATTCCGAGACCACCGACAGCCTTAAAGCGCCACGAGCAGCATAACGCGCAGCAAAGTTTGGCTATCTGTCGGTGACGAGCATTCCCGATGACACCAAGACGGGACGCGGTAGATGGGAGTGGCCGGGCACCCGTGCGCGGGCGTCCGGCCTCCGACGCCGCTCACCCCAGCCGTCTCCGTTGGGTCCGCGCGCCTCCCACGGCTTGTGGCCGCCCCAGTCGTCCTTCTTGCCGGGTCCGCCGGGCCACATGCCGCCGGGGCCGGCCGGGCCGCCGCCGCCACCCCAGTGATTGCCCGGAGGACCGGGCGGGCCCGGC